GCAAGCACGATTTCGATTGGTGGTATGTTTGTGTCAACACATGCAACGTTTGCAGCGGTAAGTTGCAATTAGCGATTGATTTATGATTTATTGTTTAAATATATCTTTTCAGTTAATACGGAAGGCATTCTCTTTTGCAATGGTTTACTACTCTACACTATAATTCTTAATTGTATTTAAACAATTGTGAAGATATTTTCAATACTATGCTTAGTAAAGATTTATATGATTCTACCTGATACAAATAATATTTCATAGTTCATTAAAATAGGATTGTAATCATGAATTATGGTTTGACAAATATATTCTATGATATTGGAACATTTTTCTGTAATTATTTACCAATAAATTATGACAATTTCTATGCAACTTCAGCAGACTGTATTGTCGATCAAAATAGAAGATACTATTTTCTAATCACTAGAGCAATCTCATTTTGCTGCTGGATCAGGAAGTGTTCCGCACCGTTGTCGGAAACCAACTGACCTAAGTTGAAATCAATGGAACCCTCTGCGCATGTCTCTAAATATAAAAACTGGAAGGAACATCTACCCTAGTATAATTACTATGAAAGGACCCTTCTTAAATAGTAGAGGCAATAATTTTCATATTTCAAAATGTGGAACACATTATAAAACTATAAACGAGTCGTACTTCTACCTATCCTGTTGCATTCATTAAATTTTTATTGTGCTATTTTCATGTCATTGAATTTCCATTTTTTTCTTAAATTTTTAATAGAAAGTAATTTGAATTTTCGATTAGAATATAGTAGGGGAAGTAAAATGTGTATTTAATATTTCGTTTTGAAATTTGTAAGTTAGTTTACAATGGCTTCTGGTAGTCGAATATTCAACGAACATTTTTTCTTTTCGAATAAGTTTGTTCAATCAATAATGGGTTTTCGTCCTGATTATACTCAAAAAAATCATTTGTTTACACTTTGTGCTATAGCATTCTACATTTTTCCATTTATATTTCAACAAGTAAAGGATTTTTTTTTTTCTTACTAAATGTACAATACATTGTTATATTTAATAAGATTGTGTGCAATTACATTGCATTGAATAAAAACGAAATCTTTTGGGTTAAATTTTGAGTTTCTTTGTAATAAACGATTAACATACGTTTCTATATAATTAAAAATATGAATTAATATCTATTACATTTCATTGGAAATATAGTTTTGTTTTTGTTTTAACTATTAGTTTTATCATCTTTGTACATCAGAATTAACACGGCAATTGGCAGTCGGAGTTTTACAGAAAGCTATGGCAGCTTTTGCTTGCTTTGTAATGTTCAGTACGACTTGGTTTAATTTTGTAACAGTTAGTAAATTTGATGACAAATTTAATTTAACATTATTATTCGCGTGAAATAATTATTTAATTATAACAGAGAACAAAATATCTTTTATTTTTAGATGAAGCTATTAATTTTTCTTATTAAATCCTATTGTGAACAGGTGTCCAATGAAAAAGAATTATCTATTATAGAGAATTTTGTAAAAGAAAGTAAATTTTATTTCTACGTTTTCATTGGTAAACAATAAAATATTATTTTCGTTAGATCTTATATTACAATTTTACAAAGTTACATTTACATATATTTCAGGTGTTTTTAATAGTAATGGTGTTTTAATAATAACTCCTAGCATTGTAAAAGTATGTCTTTATTTTTTGGGAATATTGGAAGATAATAAATTATCATTAATAGTACCCATAAAAAATATTAACAATGCAAAACCGCAATTTTTTGGTTTGCTCGTTTACCAAATAACTGTAGCTATTATCGTGTTAGTAATTGGTGTATTGAGTTTTTCTGGATATTTGATTTGTGTCCTATTTGCTTGTTGTCAATTTCGCATTTTAATGTGCGTGTTCAGTGATGAAACTTAAGGTTATTTGTTATTTTTGTAATTTGTGTTTCGTTTTCTAAATTGTATTATTCTGTCAATTCTTTTTTTAAGATTCAATATACAGTTTCCATTTGAAAGAAATATAATATATATGGAAAGGGATTGTTGTTTTAGTACACCACAAGAGGAATGGGATTGGATAATTGGTATTACAAATAAACATAAAAAAGTTACAGAGTAAGTATTTCGGGATGTTTGGAATATAATGAATTTTATTATTTGAAAATTTTTCTATTTATTTCTAAGAAGGTTTTATATTGTTAAAATTGAAATCTAATAAGGAAATGTTAATTATGGTGATTTGTTTTTATTTTTTATTTTTTTTTTTCAGGTATATGAATTTGTTAAATAATTTTTCGAGCTTTTCTTACTTAATTATAGTATTATTAGCAGTGACTGTTGTCGCTATTAATTTTCTCTGTGTAAGTAATACAATTGTAAAAATATGATAAGTATTAAAATATTTTCTTCTTATTATTTTACAATAATTAATTATACAGTGAATAATACTGTTTACTACATAGTATTATATAAATTTTATATAACTTTAAAAGACGTGAATCCATGTCAGCGGTCACGTATGTGTTAAACATTTATTATACTAGCTTTTGATTATAATATTAAGATATTTTCCTGTATATATATCGATATATTATATAATATATAAAAAAATAAAAATATAAATGTAGGAATGATTGTGAAATTTTAATATATTGTGTTGTGTATATTTAGATTTTTCAGTTATCTATAGACATACAAAATGCAACGGAAATAATCGTTTATACTTTCTACATTACTGGCTCTATATTTTTATTATATCTCAATTTTTATTTCGGCCAAGAACTGATTAATTATAGCAATGTGATTTTCAATGAATTGTAAGATATTACACTGTATTTTTTTTTTTATCAAAATTCAATTATTCATTTTTATTATTTTTAATTTTCTAATGTAATTATAATGTTAATAATAATTGCATATAAGAATTATCCATATTTGTTTTCAGGTGTCAAGTACCATTTTATAAATTGTCAAATAAAACTCAAAAATGTCTATTGTTCATGATTTTAAGAAGCTGTAAACCTTGCATGCTTTCGATTGGTGGTATGTTTGTGTCCTCGCATGAGACATTTTCATCCGTAAGTACAAATCAGCTAATATTTTTTAATACATTAATTAAACAGATAAAATAAATTTTTTAGATAATGCGGAAAGCATTCTCTTTTGCAATGGTTTACTATAACACACTATAATTCGTAACTGCAATTAAACTATATTATAGTTATTTCAAATGCTCTTTACTAAAGATTTGAAATTATTCTGCATGAAACAAATTATATTCATTGTTTTTAAATAATAAGATAGTAATCATTACTAATAGTTTCATATATGTAATATGTACTCACTGATATTGGAATATATATATATGTTTTTCTGCAATTATTTATCTCTCATTTTTGTATCCAATCAAAATTATATAATATTAACGTGTCTTTATGTACAAATAAATACCTGCAAGTTTTCAGTGTAACATGACAATTTCTATAGGATATATGGTAGACTGTAATGTCAAACAAAATAGATACTACCTTCGAATCACTACAGTAATCACATTGCAGTTAGATCAACAAGTGTTCTGTACCGTTGTCGGAAACAAACTGACATAAGTTTCAAATCAATAGAATCTACTGCGCATGTCTGTAAACATAAAAAGTAGAAGAAAAATCAACCCTCGTATAAATTGTTGAGAAAAAACATATGCCAAAATATACGCAAAGTAATAATTATACTATTTGAAAATGTRGAACACATTATAAAACTATAAACTAGTCGAACTTCACTTTTTTCTACGTATTATAGATGAAATTTTTATTCTGAGTATTTTCATGTCATTGAATTTCCATTTCTTTTCTTAAATTTTTAATAGAAAGTAATTTGAATTTTTGATTAAAAGATAGTAGGGGAAAATCAACAGTRTATTTAATATTACCTTTAGAAATATACTGAGGTAGTTCATAATGACTTCTGGTGGTCGAATATTCAACGAACATTTTTTCTTTTCGAATAAATTCGTGCAATTAATATTAGGTCTTCGTCCTGATCAKTCTCAAAAAGATCAATTGTTTACACTTTGTGCGATAATGTTTTACTTACTTCCTGKATTGATACTGCAAGTGAGTGATGCACTTTAACATATGCACAGTGCATGAATATATTTAATAAAATAAAATTTACATTTTTGTATTACTTTGAATTAAAATAAATTATTATATATAAAATAGAAATCACATTTGTAATAAAATAAAATTATACATGTTATACATATAAATAAAAATCTTAAAAATAATCTCGTTACATTTAATTAGAACAAGTTTTTTTTTTAATCATTAGTTTTATCAACTATTTACATCAGGAGAACAACTGCAATCGGYAAACGGAGTGCTTCAAAAACTGATGGGAACTCTTGTTCTTCTTACGGCCTACAGCACAACCTATTTTAGCTTTTTAACAGTTTGTTTTATTCTTTTATTAAAATTAATTTGACGTTAAGTGTACATGTTAATAATTGTTTAAGTGATTTCTGTAAAATATTTTTTATTTTTTTATTTTTTAGATGAAGTTACTATTATCTTATTCTAAAGCTTTTTGTGAGCAAGTGTCGAGTGAGGAAGAATTAAGTTTTTTAGAAGAAAATRTCAAACAAAGTAAATTATATGCATACATTATCCTTGGTAAGAAAAAATATGACATAATACTATGTACATAAGATATAATTATTAATTTCATATATATATGAAATCTTATAGATAAAATATATTTCGATATTTACAAATTTTTACTTTGTTTTAGGTCTTTTTAATTGCTATGGTTTCTCAGTAGTAACACCGTGCATTGTAAAATTATGTCTTTATTTTTTAGGAACATTGGACGATAATAATTTACCACTGATAATACCCGTTGATATCACCAAAGCAGGAGTGCATTATTTTTGTTTGTTCATTTATCAAATAACTGCATTTATTATAATTTTGACATTAGGTGGTGTGAGTTTCTCAGCATTTTTGCTTACTGTCTTATTCGCGTCCTATCAGTTTCGTGTATTAATGTACGTTTTCAATGATTAAATCAATCTTATAATAGTAGTAATTTATTTATTTTCTAGTTTTTAAATTATAGTCAATCTCTGCAATTTTGTTCTTTTTTTTAGTATAAAAATACGGCGTCCGTTCGAAAGAAATTTGAAATATAAAGGAAATGATTGCTATTTTAGATCATCACAAGAAGAATTGGATTGGATAATYGACATTATTAATAGATCTAGAAAAATTACGGAGTAAGTATTCGAACGTAATGTTAATAACATTATTATATTTAGTATTAATTGGCATTGGGAACTCGAAAGGTTTATCGGTGACCATATATTTGTTTTTTTCCATTTTTATTTTTCGCGTTATTAATTATTAATGATTTTTTATTGTCCCCTAACAAAATAATGTAGTCTGCGTATGTCAATAGTTCCGTTTTTCCATTCAACTGCAGATCATCTTTATTTTTATGCAATTCTTTGACAGCAAATTCGGGTTTTAACCCGTTATATATACTAGCTCTTTTTTCTATTTATTTTCCTAACAATGTTTCAATGGTTTCAATCTATTAAAAACATATATAAAATAAAATATATATCTTTTTTTATCATATTTTTTATTTCAGGTATATTGATTTGTTAAACAATTTTTCGAAGATATCGTATTTAGTTTCATTAATTTTCGGTATGTCACTTATCACCTTTGATTTCATATATGTAAGTAGAAAATTTGTTATAAAAATAAGAAATATGATAAATATAAAAATATTATATTCGGGTTATATAAAAAAAAGAAACATATAATAATAATTATACAGCTTTATCTATTTTACGTAAAATTTTATTGTATTGTATTTTCCATATTTAGATTTTTCAGTTTTCTATGGACTCGCAAAATGCAGCAATGATAATTGAATGCATTTCCTACATTGCAGGCTCTATACTTACTTTATATCTCAATTTTTATTTTGGCCAAGAACTGATGAATTATAGCGATATAGTATTCGAAGAATTGTAAGATATTAAAGAAATATTTTTTACAATTAATTCTTATAAAAAAATTAATAAACAATTTTGATGATAGTTAGATATACAGTTAGATTGATACTTTGTCTGATAATAATGATTTTATCTTAGAAGTAATTGAATTTATTTGCAGATGCTTCATTCCATTTTACACACTTTCTAATAAAGTTCAAAAATTTCTATTGTTCATGATATTAAAAAGTTGCAAACAAAGTATACTTTCGATAGGTGGTATGTTTGTATCCTCGCATGAAACATTTGCAGCAGTAAGTTACAATAAATGAATTTTTATTAATACATACCATCTTTAAATAAGAAATATATATCTTTTTTCAGATTATGCGGAAAGCATTCTCTTTTGCAATGGTTTACTATAGTGCACTATAATTTATATTTGCATTGAAACAATATCACAGTCATTACGAATGCTGTTTATGGATGATTGAAAGTGTTCTATACGAATAGAATTGTACTAATAATGATTAAATTCTTCATAATTGTATTTAGTGTTATTAGAATATATATGTTATTTTCCTCATCAATTATTAGACATTTACTTATTATTATTTTTAATATTAAAAATTTAGAAGTCTTACCATTCCTTATTTTTAAGTAAATAAATYAGTTTATTGTTTTAACGAACCAGATTTTATTCATTTCGCAGAAGATTGTATTGTCGAAAAGGAAAGGTTCTTTGTTTTAATCACTATAGTAATTTGATTGCAGCTAGATGAGCAAGTGTTCTGTACCGTTGTCGGAAATAAACTGACATAAGTTTCAAATCAATAGAATCTACTGCGCATGTCTGTAAACATAAAAAGTAGAAGAAAAATGAACCCTCGTATAATTGTTGGGAAAAAAACATTTGTCAAAATATGCAGAAAGTAATAATTATATTATTTGAATATGTGGAACACATTATAAAACTATAAACTAGTCGAACTTTTCTTTAGCCAATTGTATCGATTAAATTATTATTGGTTTTTATTTTCATATTATTTCATTTCATTTTTCATTGTTTTAATTTTTAATAGAAATTATTCGTAATTTTTCTATGGTATAGTAGGGGGAAGAAAAGAAAAATGCTTATTTAATATTTTCTGTAGAAATTGGTAAGTTAGTTTACAATGGCTTCTGGTGGTAGTCGATTGTTTAACAATCATTTTTTCTTTTCTAATAAGTATGTTCAATCAATATTGGGTCTTCGTCCCGATCAGTCTCAAAATTTTCAATTGTTTTTACTCTGTGTTATAACATTTTATGTGTCTCCTGGGCTGGTGCATCAAGTATGTCTCTAATTTTAATAATAAATTTGTAAAATGCATTATTATATGAGATTTCATAAATATATGAATATTTATTGAGATTGTTTTTAAATTTGTTGCTTTGAATTAATAGAAATATTGTTTATATATATAAATATAAATTATACTTAATATACAAATAATAATTTGATATATATATATATAATAATAATAATTTAATTTAATAATAATACTTAATAGACATTATTAATAATAATTATACAAATAAATATAATATATATATAAAGATATAATTTATATTTATTACATATATATTATATTATTATATATATATATTATTNAACCCTCGTATAATTGTTGGGAAAAAAACATTTGTCAAAATATGCAGAAAGTAATAATTATATTATTTGAATATGTGGAACACATTATAAAACTATAAACGTATCGTACTACTCTTTATCGATTACTTTCGTTTTATCGATTAAATTATTATTGTGCTATTTTCATGTATTTTCTTTTCACTTTTCCTTCTTTCATTTTTAATAGAAGGAAATTAGAATTTTCTATCAGTTAGTAGGGGAAAATCTTATGTGTATTCAACATTTCGTATTGATAATTTTTGAGTCAGTTCATAATGGTATCTGATAATCGAATGTCCACAGACCATTTTTTCTTTTCGAATAAGTTCATCCAATTAATATTGGGTCTTCGTCCTGATCATTCTCGAAGGGATCAATTTTTATTATTATGTGCAATGACATTTTATCCATTTCCTTTATTGATACATCAAGTAAGTGTACTTTATTAAATGTTTAATACATTGATATATTTAATAAGATAGAATTTGTATTTGTATTACTTTGAATTAAAACAAATTTTTTTTTTTAGAAAGGTAAATATAATACTACAATTATAATATTAAAAATAAAAACTATAATTATAATTATAATATATATTAACGTATATTTTATTACATTTAATTCGTAATAGTTATTGTTTAAAATTAGTTTTATCAACTGTTTACATCAGAAGTAACACTGCAATCAGCTGTCAGAGTGCTTCAAAAAACAATGGGTGCCATTAATTTTCTCTTAGTATACAGCAATACCTGCTTTAGTTTTGTAACAGTTAGTGTATTCTTTTGAAATAGATAATGTTAAAAATGAAATGTAATCATTGTTACAAAATTTCTTTCATTTTTTTTAGATGAAACTAATACAAAGTGAGTTAATTAATAGTTATAAACAGGTGTCCAACGAGATAGATTTATTTTTTTTCGAAGAACATATCAAACAAAGTAAATTATATTTATACGTTTTATGTGGTAAGCAATTACATTAAAATTTATTTACATATGATATTACGATTTTACAGTTTTTTTTTTCTTTTTTTTTTTTTTTTTACATTCTTTCAGGTGTTCTCAGTATATATAGTTTTTCAGTACTATTTCCATGTATTGTTAAAGTATGTCTTTATTTTTTGGGAATATTGGACGATAACAAATTAATATTATTATTACCCGTAAATAATGTCAATAAATCAGAAGTGAAATATTTTTGTTTGCTTTTTTATCAAATAATTGCATTCATTATTGTAATGACAGTTGGTGCTGTGAGTTTGTCAGCATATTTGATAGTTGTTCTATTTGCTTGTTATCAATTTCGCGTTTTAATGTACGTATATTATTTATGATCGTATTTGTTATAATTTTTGTTTATAGTATAAATTGTATTCTGTCATTTCTATTTTTATTATTTTTTTATTTTTTTTATTTTTTTTATTTTGAAGATTTAAAATACAACGTCCATTCGAAAGAAATTTAAAATATATCGAAGTGGATTGCTATTTTAGAACACCTCAAGAAGAATGGGATTGGATAGTCGACGTTATAAATAGTTTAAAAATAGCTACAGGGTAAAAACATTTTTTTATTTAACATTATCAGCATATTAAAAAAAAAGAAAAAAAAAACCCAACAAATGTTGTCAGATTTTATTGCTTGTTATTTAACAAAGAGGAATACTTGTTCGAATTGATTTTTAATAAATTATGTGGTCCTTACTCGTTTAGTGCAATGTTTTAATAAAATTGTTTATTTTTTTTTAACTATACCTTTAGAATTATTAAAATCAGAAATGCATAATATTTATTTTTTGATAATTTAAAAATATTTATATTTTGTTTTCTATTTGTTTTTAGAAGATGTTTTAAAGGTTTTCAAATAGGAAATTCAAATCAAATAGGAAATTTTGTATTTGTTGAAATTTTTCTGATCATCATAATTTTTCTTTTTTCCTTCAGATTTGTGAATTTATTAAGCAACTTATCGAAGGAAGTTTATTTATTAATAGTGGTTCTTTCTATGACGCTTATCATTTCTGATTTTGTTTATGTAAGTAAAACATTTGCTATAAAATAAAATACATAATATATTTTATTATTATATATATATATATATTTACATTATATCTTCATTAAATATTTCATTCATATCTTTATTAAATGTATATTTAAGTAATATCTTTGTATTATTTTACAAAAATCAATTATAGTGTTAATATTTGTTGGTACAAATTTTAATATATTACATCTTTGTATGTTTAGATATTTCAGTTATCTATAAGCTTGAAAAATGCAGTCGAAATAATTGAGTGCAGTTTCTATATAATAGGTTCTATAATGACACTATATATCAATTTTTATCTTGGTCAAGAATTGATGAATTACAGCGATATGGTTTTCAAGGAATTGTAAGATATTAAAGAAATTTTTTCATCAT